AAAGAGATTTCTCTCGTGGCCTGGATCAATCTGACTGATAGCCACTCGTGGATCGTACGAGTGGCGCGCGAGCTGCCGATTGGCGAGGCTTGATCTGCTCGAGGGCCTCGAGTGATCCACAAATTCTCGTTCCCGATTGGCCGGTCACTTCGCCGGTGAAAATCGGTACGCGGGAGAAAGTCCTCGTCGCGATCAATGCGCGACGATCCTTTCGCGAGATGGATTTTGCTTTTATATGTATATGTATTCGTCTTTTTCTTTCCTCTTTCGTTATTTCTCTATCGCGAAATGGCCTTAATTCAGTGCGTTCGCTCATGCGAGGAATCGTAACTGCACCTTTTATCAATGTGTCTCGAGCTCAGAAATTATCTTTGCTTCGTCGTTCAATTATCATATACAGTAGTTGATTTGATAAGCTCTGTCGGATCGATCGAAGATAAACGAGGCGGTAAAATGTGACAACGATTTTCTCAAAATGCTACTTGACATTTTTGCATACAAGTAGAAGTATATCTTAATAATATAAACAATTTCATAAATTAATAAATAATTTTGTAAATTTAAATCGGTTAAAGTAATTAATTCGAGCTTAATTCGAATTGATTGCATTTATTTGTTTCTTTTATCTCGGTTTTTTTTTGTATAGGAACGTCGTGCAGAATTCTAAATTCTAATGATATATGTAGTAACGATTAAAAGTGGCCGTATAAACGCATACTCATATAGATGCAGCGAAATAATTTCGCTCTCACTAGAAATGTTCAAACATTTTCATTTATAATACAGCCAGCTCTCGGCTTTGATTACCGCGTTCAATTTTTGTAGCTCTCGGCCAACCACGCGACGACCGCATCATCTGCTGCGTCGATGCTGATATCAAACAACAACAGCCTAATTGAACAACTCGATTAATTATCTTCTCGTGGCAGCTGGAGCAGCTTGTCGGGCTGCGCCAATCTCGTACGCGTCGCGTAAACTATCGTTTTAGCTTCATTTAGCCGGCGACCGGGACGCCTTCGAAATGCATCGTTTAGTGTTACGCCAATGCGCACGAATGGAGAAAATCTTACGATGAAAATCGAGAACAAAGTTAAATCGAGAAAATCTTTTCTACGAAAGTCTGTATTTATTTCGCTGCATCGATAATCATTCTATAAAACTTGATACAGCTGACGGGAAGACTTCGTTTGCGATTTTGTTACGTTTAAGGCTACTGTCAAAAGGACGACGCAAAAGTAATCGCTTCCGAGAAGATAGCACATCTTCCTCTGTCGTCGTTATATTGCTTTTCGGACGTAATAGGATTATATTCTTGAATCACGACCAGTGATTACTCCTTCGGATTTTTTCCGGTTCGATAATAGCGTCCGTTTGATCAAGCAGGCCTTCTTATTGCGACTTTAATGGCTCAATTAAAGCTTGAAAGCCTGACCTTTTTGCGACTCGTCGATTTACTGCACCAATGGAATTCTATTCGCGATAGTTTCGTAAAATTACGTAAATTTTCAAGCAGGAATTTCGCAATTCAAAGACACTTTTCTCAAATCTTTAAATCTAACATGTCATGAATTTCGGAAATCGGATGACAAAATTGTTGTCGATTTTTCCGCCTCGGGGATCTTCGTAATACTCAAAGCGAATAAAAAGAGAGACGCATTAGGATTGCTTGCCAACGTGGATTCAGAACTGTCATGTCGAGCTGTCGTATTTTAAGTGCTTGCTGCAAATCCGCGCTGTTAGTATTGTCATCCCTAAAATCAGTCTTGTTAAACAAGAAAAGGGAAGATCCACGTTGGTGGGACTCCGAATGCAAAGTGAGCGAAGTTGAAGGGGTGGACGCGTTCGAAACAACGCGATAGTCGTCGAACGACGAGTAAACGAACCGCATACAAAGGAGCTGGAAAATCCGCTGATTGGACGATCCGGCCGTTGTGTTGGGTTCGGTTACTATGGGAAAGAAGAAAGTAACCAAAAGCACAAAAGCAGAACAAAAGAAAGACAATTGCAAAATACGATCGTGTCTCACGCAGATCTCCTGTTGTTCCATAGAGAGCTTCTGCGCGAAAGAAAGAGCGGGTAAAAAGGTAGAAAAGAGAGCGAGCGAAAGACTCGTACTGAATAGTCGATTGAAAAATCTGAGAGAGCGAGCGAAAGAGAGAGACAAAAAGAAAGAGAGAGATGGTCGATCCGATGATCGATCGATCGGTCGGGAGAAAGAGCGATTAACGGGCAAATGCTGATCGTGGGACACTGAGGAGGCCACTGAAAAAGGACCTCGCGAAGTGTCCGAAAAGGTAAGGAAACCATCGCAGCGGGAATCGTTTACCGGCAAAGCAAAGACCGGACTCATATGTGTATAATGAAAAATACAACTCGCACTGCCCGCTCTCTCACGCGATACACCGAGAACCGTGCCATGGTCGATTTTCACTAGTAGATTACATTTATTTCTTATTTCTCCCTTTCTCCATTATTTTTCCCCCCACACTTATTTCGCATTTTTAGCATAAGCGAATGAAATTTTTAACCGCTTTTTTATCAAACTATCTTTATCGAAGTGTACTCCTGCACGGGTGACGAAGTATTCAAAAAATAAAAGGAAACAGAGAATTCGTTTTAATAAGAGTTTACAAATTTTATAGAAAATTCTATTTGGCAGCACAAAGAAATATACTTTACAGTTTGCGGACGAAGTAGGACGAAATTGCTTTAAATACTTCGTCATCCGAATTTATTTTTTTTATTTTACCTTTAATTGTTAATTTTTTTAGTCACTTACTCAGTGTTCTTTTTTTTTCTCTTTTTCGACCGGCACACGCGTAGCGCTTACTTTCTCCTAAAATGAAATCCTACTTGCGATATTTATGATATAACTAATAAAGTATATAACACTCTTTTAAAATATATAATACTAGCATAAACTGTGTAGATGTGTAAGGAGATAAAACTTACAAAAAAAAGGCTCGAGTACTTTCGCAAATGGCAATCGAGACAATCGAAGAAACACCCCGTTGATTAGTTGTGATAACGGCGCAATAATGACATTTCTTCCACGAGCAATTTGCATTTTATTTGTACCTTGTGTGATCGAGTTTTTTTTTTGCAACAGAAGACAACCACGTATGCGGGTATGAAAGATCTTTGCACTGCTGCCAATTAAAACGCGCGAGTGGTTTTAAAACGATTATATCTCGTACGTCATCACTCTTGTATGGCGACGTTTGACCCGTTTCACTCGAGCGCTAAGCACCCAGGCCCTTTGTTGAATTTTCTAAGAGCCATCGTAGAGCAAGAGGTTAAAAAAGAGGCGTGGACGCTGAAACGCCGGCCGAGAATAACGAGATGGCAGGGTATAGCAAAAAGAAAGAGCTCTAACGAGAATTCTTTTATGCGTAATTTTCTCACGAACGTGGCGTAGCACTTTAATTGTGGAAGAGATTAGGAAGCGATCTTAAATTAGAGACCGCGCCTTTTTTTCAAGTTTTCCGCGTGAAATTTCCGCCAACGGAATTCCGGAGAGACATGGAATAAAAATTCGCGACGTTTGGCTGAAATCTCCCGAAATTCACGAGGACCGATATATTTATTGAAGCAATTATAAGAGGGGGAAGGGGAAGATTTAAAGAGACACACAATTAGCCTTTCGTAAATCTCTCGCGATATTCCCTGAGGGGGAGAAAAACACTTTATTAGTTAATCTCCCCTGAGAGACTTTGCCGGCGCAACTTTTTAATGTCCGGATCTCCTTCAAGCTTTAAATAATTTCAGACACTAAGTCGGTTCGGTAACTTTGAAAACTAGATTCTCGAATAAGACGGAAATTCCAAAATCAACCGTTGATTGTATTGATTAGATATGCGATTTCGTAATTTCTTCGAGATAACGACATTCGGCGAAGGTTGCTTTTTCACGGATCAGCAAGCGGCTGCGCTTCGCATATTCGTTTCACGCGCAATTTAACGCACGGTCCGCACCCTTCAGCGGGCAGGAGACCAACTCGTTCGTAAAATTTAGCGTCGTTGATCGCGATGTATTTATTCATCATTGATGCATCCGAAATCAAGAAAATCGAAGAAATGGAAAAATTAGGATCGAGAAATATAAGAAAAATTAAATCGTTGGGAAGAGATTTATGATATATACACAAGTTTTCGATACGGAAGGAGTTTATTGGAACATTGTTATTGCACTGAAAAAAAAAGATTAGCTGCTGCAGTAAAATATGGCATAGTATTTTTAATTGGTTACAACAGTTAATTTTTGGTTGCGTCAGCCTATTTGCAATGTCAGTATAGGATTCCGATAGGCTAATGCAACCAAAAATTGACTGCTGCAACCAATTAAAAATGCTATGCTTATCGCCATTATAATGCCATATTTTACCATCTAATTTGCTGCAGCAGCCAATTTTTTTTTTAGTGTGATATATCCACGTCTGCCAAGCGTCTACAATAATGATAATAAATATTAACGCAAATGCTAATGTTGCTTCGCGTCTATAAACTCCCCGGGAACAGCTTCGGAGCACAAATTCGCCGGAAGCATAATTCATATGGGAAGATACACGGAAGTACGCGCGGCTTGCTGCAGTCGACGGGTATTACAGATTACAGAATAAAGAGGGAATATTGTTTCCCGAGCGAAGCGGATTTTTGCTCGTTATTAATTTCTAACTCGTGACGAAACCTCTTGTCGTCGGACACGAGTTTTGCACCGCATCGAGTTCATCTATCTATTCCGCGGCCGTTTTTTCATTTCTCTCGTTTGTTATCTTCCTTGGTTCTTGCGCTCAAGAGATGGAAAACATGAATTCCTAACGGAAATGTGCAGCACAAGGCATATTTTCGATAATCGAAGAATATCAAATAAGGAGATATACTCTCAGAAACTCGACGCTATTTGAAGATCAGCTATATAAAGTTCGTCGTAACGTTTTTATAACAAGAGACAAGATGTTCGCAGCAACCAGCAGATATCACATTCAATGGCTCATTATCTTAATGAACGCCCTTTGTAATCGTCGCTCCGTATTGTTCCGCGCGTCGACTCGTTACGTCTTTGAAGACTTGACTGCCTTCGTTCTTGCGCTGACTTTCTTCTACTTTCTTCTTGTTCTTCTTTCAATTTCCGGATAGAAGCTCCTTTACGAGGGAGTTGCGATTTTTCACAAGATTCAGTTAAATTCGAAGTATTTTACAGTAACTTTTCTTTCATAATCGCGTCGGAATTGAAGTGTTTTGGAAAACTGAGCACGTAGGCAGGATAGTTTTCGATTAAACGCGATGAACTTTTCATTCTCTTTCTGTATGCCACTATAAATTTTTGATTTTATCACGGTTGATAAGTATATAATATTCATTTATCTTCAATCTTTTGCATATATTACACTAATGGATAGCGAGTTGAAATTATGAAGATGATCCTTCTTGTCTCTGACATTCCTGTCTGTCAAGATATTACCCGAACATTTGTCTGTAATAAAAACTGGAGTAGATTCGTCGATAAAGCAAAAAAACGTCGCGTGTAGCGGAAAATCCACACAGAACATTTGAGTCGATCGGGCGGGTGATAAGTGCTTATGGCAGTTCAGCTAAGGAACAGCCTCGAATGCATAATCCAACGCGATTTATTGCGCGCCATGACAAATGACACAGAGGCTACGGAAGCCTGAAATTATGTCGACCCACTAGGCAAGCGAAGAACGCAGATTAACGAGCAAGAACTGCTAAGAGAGAAAACGACAAGAAGTATCACCGAAAGAAAAGCTCTCCTGCTTTTAGCGCACGAAGCTGGCATTCCGTGTCGAAGCCGCGTAGGGGATAATGACGATGCTAATGCTGTAAGACGATCTAAAATAGACAGAAGAGGTATAAAAAGAGGTACTACGAGCAGAGGACGAATAAACAAACATACCGCGAGCTTCGTGATGTATAAGCACGCGAGGAATTTTAGAGCGTTTTCCGCGCGTATCTAAAGAAGTGAAATAAATTTGAATATATAAATAGTGAAATGAAGAAGGAATATTACTCTGATATAGTCATCGAATATGATGCTTTAACGTGTACATTACGTATGCACTACAATTTACATAACCAGGGAAAATAAATAGACCATAGTTCACTTATATCAACTAGAAAAAAATATGTAAAGTTACATAAATATTATGTGTAAAAATTCATAGTGAAAATATACAAAAAAATTATGCATTTTATAAAACTTAATATATACTTTTAATTGTGTGAATATATCTTCATATTATATAGAAAATTACAATAGCATTTAACATAACGGTATTATATCATATATATTCGCATTTTTATGTTCGTATATCTCAATAGCATAACTTAACAAAATTTAACGTTATTCGCTGACGAAATAATACTTAAATATTTCTGTAAACTTAATCTTGATTGTAAATTTGCTTTTGAAAATTGTTTAATTACTTGTGAGAAGAATAATTTTATTTGTAAGTTTCGATTTTACTTTAAATATGTGTAAATATACTTTTAATAGATCCCAAATTATCTACTAATTGTTGTAATTTTACATGTAATTTTTTTAGTGCAGAAAATTACAATTTCAGTTATTCTTGTGAATTATGTTATATATATGTTGTCTATTTTTGTTTTTTGTGCGAGAAATATTTTGCACTTATACGATCGCAAACGACGCAGAAGACAAGTTAGAAGATTTTTAAAACTCGAGGGGCTCATTGACGTTGCAAGAGAACGAAAATTATGGTTACTGCACGCGCAACATGAACGTGATTTAACGAGCTTGGCCTTGGTAGAACGGTTGTTGGTTAGGGGTCGGAAAAAGCTCTTCCTGAAGATGTAAAGGAGTAATCGACATTCTGGGTCAACGACGACGACGACGACGCCGGAGGATACGATGCTTTTCGCGGTAACGTGTAAACATAGCACTAGCAAAGGCAGATCGACGAATCGACGATTAAATCGCGCATGAAAAATTCATACAAAGTTCCGCGAACAGAATTGGAAAGAAGCATTTCCACACGATTTTATAACTCATTGAAAATTCAATCGTGATGAAGACCCAAAGGAAGAGACTGTACAAATAACGTAACAAATTTCTTAAAGTTATAATCGCGCCGCATGTTTGATTAATGTAAAAAGAAACTACCTTCTTTTCTCCATTTTATTTGTGAAAATTTACAATTTTTGCTACGGTATCCATCAAACTACAACTATGAATTATTTTATTCTTTGCATTATTTCTATATATCAAAATTTATCTTGAAGATATTTTTGAACCGAAACGAAATTTGTTGTAT